TGTTTCAAATATTTTCCAATTGGTGGCTTTCTCTCTTATTTAATTTTTATGTAATTGGTACAGGGTCTCACTACAGCTCAGACTAGTAGTGATCCTCCTGTTTTCAGCTTCCCCAGCACTGGGATTACGGGTGTGCACCACCACGCCTGGACTTGATTGCTGGCTCAGTGTGCCTAGGGGCACTGCTGGTGTGGCATGTAGTGGTGGCTCTCTTTTAACTCTGTCCCTTCAACAAACGTTCAAACTAGTATGTTCCTAGTACTGTGGCAAGAATTCAGCTTTTTGTTTTGTTTTGCTTTTTGAAACAAGGTCTCACAATGTAGTTCAGACAGACCTTAAACTCATAGTAATTCTTCTGCCTTAGCCTCCAAAATGCTGGGATTACAGGCAAGGGTCACCATGCCCAGCTGTTGTTATTCTTTAATAGTGCTGCATAGTGAGATCCTGTGCCAAATACATTAACTTTTTTTAAAAAAAGAATTGAACTTAAAGATCTGGGTAAATCCCATACCCACATCCCAGGACTTGGGGTCAGAGCTGTCCTTTAGAAAGCTGATGAGGCTGGGGTAAGATGCTGGGCAGAGGTGCAATCCAAATGCATAATTAAAGCTGCAGGATCCATTTAGGCAGCACACTCACAAGGCTGGCAAGCGCTGGCAAGTTGATGCTGTCTTTTGTTAGACACTTTCATTCTTCTGGACCTTTGCACAGGGCTGTTTGCAAAGAGGGCAAGGTGCCTGGCTTTCCCAGTGTACGGAGTTGAAGACTACACTGTGGCAAGCTGCCATCAGTGCCTATGTGTCTTGGGCATGAGCCACACTATATTCAGTGGTCAAAGTAACCCTAGGTTAGTCAGCTGATGGAGATGATCACAGAGAGTCATCTCAGAGGCTAGCTCCTGAGGACTTCCACTTCCTCCTTGATTTTCTTGTTGTTCACTTTGTACAGCAACTGTTCACTGGGAATTTTTTTTTTTTGTACTGGGAATTTTGTACTGCACTGTACAAGTACTAGGAATTTTGTCAAAACCAGTACAATTCTACTCCTGTTTAAACACAGCTGTTTTTTTCATAGCTGTGTTTTTACATACATATGTGCACATAGGAGCATCCAAGCACACAAAATCTTCCGTTTAAAGTCCCACAAATTAAAGACCCTCCGCTACAGACAGGGTCAGCCTGTGAACCTCCTGGGGCCTTGGATTCCAGGTCAAACTCTCAATTCAAGTCCAAGATTGCACAGGAAGAGCCAAGACGCTTTATTTGTGCCAAACTGTAATCACTGTTACTCAGGATATACTTTTGAGTTCTACCAGAAATCTTTAATTTTCTAGAAACTTTCACCTGCCTTCAGAATCCACTTTAATTAAAACTTTTTCAGATTATGCAATTTGCTGAAGGCAACTCAGCTTGCAGAGGGGTAATTAGCCAACTAGCTGAGGCAGAAGTCAGCACAGGAGAAAAGATCAAGCTTTACAGCTTTCACTTCTGCAGGAAAGGCCCAGAGGTGCACAGCTTTCACTTCTGCAGGAAAGGCCCAGAGGTGCACAGCTTTCACTTCTGCAAGAAAGGCCCAGAGGTGCCTTTGTGAAACCTGTTGGACTGATACTTTCAGCGCTGGTCCCAAGAGAGGGTTGAGGGCAGGCAGGCCCTCCCAGTGCTGTTTACCTGGTCCTGAACTTCTGGGTTAAAGAGTAACTAAATGGCATCAGTCCCATTTTGTCAGTTCATAGATTTAATATATACCAACCCTAAATTTAGCCAAATTGAGTCCATTCCATGAGAAATCCCTTTAGGGTGTGAACAGAACAATCAACTTAGCTTTAAGAAAATGAAGTTCTTAATTAGAATAAGCGCTTCCTGGCAAGCTCAAGGGCCTGAGTTCAATCCCCAGTTCTGGGAAAAAAAAAAAAAAAAAAAAAAAAAAGTTCTCAATTCAGAAATAGCATTCTTAGTACAAACCCCTCAAACCTAGGCTTGGTCCTGCTGCCGAACAATAGCGTCCCCTCCCGCCTCTGCCTGGCCAACAGATCACTTTTGGACACCTTTTTAAAAATGCACATATAACTTAATTTTGGTAAGTTTTCCAGTGCAAAACGTCAGGAGCAGTAGAGCAGACCCATGATTCTTCACTGGACATACTTACGTAATCTTCTAAATTCAAATTGTACCTCAGCCTTAGGGATCAATGAACAAGGCACCACCTACACAGGTGTACTCAGTCTCAGCGGTCGGTGCCCTCTACTCGGCGGATTTTATTTTTTTATTTTTGGTATTGGATACTGAATCCAGTGAACATCCCCAGATCTTTTAAATTTTTCATTTTGAGGCAGGCTGGGCTCCAATTTGAGATCGGGTCTCAGCCTCTCACAGTGCTGGATTACAGGCTGCGCCTCCATGCAGGCTGCCACCCTACGGCCGAGGGAAGCCACTGGCTCGGCCATGGGAAACACGTGAGAAGACAACGTCGGCCAACACGGCACAGACCCGACCCTGGACCACTGAACAAACGCCGAGCCTCAACCTGCTCCTTCACGGTCCTCGGCCACACCCCTGCCAGCCGGAACAACCTCCTCCCTCCGCGCCCCTACGCACGGCGTGACGTAACGCCCGACGCCATTTACGCACGTCCCCACCCCAGCCGGCCCAGGCTTCCAGGGCAGATGCGCACAGTGCGCATGCTCCGGGGGCGGGGCAGCCGGGGTCCTCAGGCGCTGCAATCTGTTGCGCCACCGCCCACGGGAGCCGGCAGATCCGGGTCTCGTGGCTCCGAGTGACGTGGTCAACCGAATCCAAACAGAGCTGGGGGAGGAGGTTGCCGGCCGGGAACGGCAGCTGCAACGGCAGCGGTAGCGGCGTCCGGAGCAGCCGCAGCGTTCTGGAAGCCCCAGACGGTCTTCCTACCGAGACTGGGGCCCGGCTCTCACCCTCCCCGCCCCGTCGGTTGTTGTCTGGGCGGGTGAGTGTCTTCCCCTCTCCCTTCACTGCTCGCCGGCCCACCTTCCCTTCGCCCGGCTGTTCCCGGGAGCCCCTCAGGCGGCCGGGGACTGCGGCAGAGCGAGCTGCCTTGGGTCGCCGGGCTGGCGGCCCCAGAGCGGAGCGATGTTGGCACCTTGCAACGGGCTTTCTGTGCGGGGCGCCGGGGCTGGGCTGGAAGTGAACGCGAGCCACGGGAGGTTTTATTTTTAGGGCCACGTCGTCCACACGGGCGGAGGCGTCTGATGGAGTCAGAAGTCGCAGCTAGAAAGGAGAAACTCCACAGCCCAGCGATGTACACACTGTCTCGTCTGCCCGTCAGTCTCAGCCCTTCCTGGGGCCGGTGAAGTCACAGGGACGCGTCCTTTGTTGTGATTGATGATACGGGAAAGCTGCCATCCTGCAAGCGAGAGCTTTTCAGCCCGCTTGGGTTGCGAATGTAAAGGATTCCCTTTTTCCTTTTCAGTAAGTGGAACCAGGGCTGATGACGGTCAGGAGGTAGCAGCGCCCTTTATTGGAGCATGAAAGTCTCGTGCTGTTGGTGAAAGCCAAAGTTTCCCAAATTGGCTCTGTAAGAACGTTAGAATTTTAGCCAAGGTCGTATTTGTCAGTCGTCGAGAATCGGTAGGATGTTTTCAGTTGTCCCAGTTGGCAAAATCGAGGATTGGCCTTAATGAAATAATTTTTAATGTTGGCATCAGGAGAGTCGGATGTGCTTCACGAAGCACTGGTCCCTTTGTAGGAAAGACGTTCGTTCAGTGGAGGGGTCCAGTTAACCAAAACCCTTGACAGCTGTCCATGCACTGATTTGGAAACCCACTGGGAACGGCTTCCAGGCATTTTAGTCTTGAGACCCTGGGTGGCGTTCCTGCTTCCCAGGGCTCTGGCACTGGCTCGAGGCCTGAGGCCCCTCCGTTCCAGGTGATGGTTCCCGCGGGTGCCTTTAGTGTAGCCTGCCACTCTCCACCAGCTTTCCTCCATGCCTAGGAGACCGGAAAACCAAATTTCCTTGGCCTCCTTGCTTTTTAAAAAGAACGTTTCCTCCCTCAGAACACAGTTGAAATGTTCCTGTGGTAATCTGCAAGAAAGAAGACAGATACTCGTTTGCCCCTTCTTGGAAGAGTTCTTAGGCATTGCTATTACTGTACCTCCTTGAAGGGTATGCCCTTGTTGTGGTAGGTAGGATGTGGACCTCTTAGATCTTTCTATGTCACTGAGATTTAGTATTTCTTTTATTAGGGTTGGAATTCTAATACAGATGAAGGAAATTTTCATATTTTGGGGGGTGGGGTCTTACATTTTTTTTCTTTTTTATGTTAGGAAATTACTTTCAAGTTCTTTTTCAGATTTTTACCTTTTTTGCTAACCAAGGACTGAATACTTTTGCTTATTTGAAATGCTTTTTTTGTTTGTTTGTTTGAGACAGGGTCTCACTATGTAGCCAGTGGAGCAGTGATTCTCCTGTCTCAACCTCTCCAGTGCTGGGATCATAGGCATGTGCCACCATTCTCAGCTCTGGACTTTAACTTTTAGAGACTATTCACTGTGTTGGAAAACCATAATTAATAAAATCAAGGGTTTGAAAGTGTTTCTCCCAGATCTCTGGGATGACATTGTTAGCTTGCTTAACTTTTGGGAGAACTGGTACAGTTCGAGTAGATATTATGGAAATTTAAAGTTTTTGCTTATTTAGTGGTTTTATTCAGGTTGTTTAGTCATACTGTGCATTTCAGGACTCCACCAGTAAGGTCCTGCAAGACTTTAATTCACACATTACAATTAATGTACTTTGTGGACTTTGTCTTAGGTATGTGCCCATTTGATCCTGTTTTTTTACCATTGGCACCAGAAGAACTTAACTATGGAAGGGAATGTCACTTCAGTTTCAAGGAATAAGGGCTGTGAAGTGTCCAAAATCTGCTAACAGACCACTTAGGGCCAATTTTTCATAAACTTAGCTAAAGCTTGCTGATCTCATTTGTGTGTGTGTGTGGTTTTGTTTTTTTTTTAAAAGCAGGGTTTCACTATGTAGTTCAAGCTGGTCTTTGACTCATGAAGCCCATGGTGGCCTCGAACTTGTGATGATTCTCCTGCCTCAGCCTTCTAAGTGCTGACATAATAGGCATGCACTACCATGACCAACCAGCAAATCTCATTCTTAATATTCATTATGTAACAAGGTTCTTTTTTCTTTGATTTTCCTCAGAGTGTTCAGTATGTATTACTTCTTCCCATCCCCACTGCCACCATCTCTCCTGATCTACTCCAGCGAATGCCTGGTCTCCTTGCTTCCATTTTGGCTTTTTAGGGTGCATTCTTACCACAGCCTGAGAGATGATTAAAAATGTTTATGCCATCCCCATTCAGAATGGAAAACAAACTCTAAAGGAAGGCTACACATTTTGTCTTTGCCTTCCTCTTTTATATCTGTCTACCTAGTTCGTTACCCAGGAGCTTGACCACAGCAGTGGCTTCCATTTGTCAGCTCTGTAACACTTTTCCCTGGAACCTGCCAACCTAGCTCTTCCATAAGAGCCTTTGTGCTGTAGCTGGGGAGAGAGCTCAGTGGAATGAGTGCTTGCCTGGTAAGCTCAAGGTCCTGAGTTGAGTCCCTGGTACTGGGGGGAAAAAAAGAGGACAGAAAAAGGAAAGAGTGGTTTACAAAAACAAAAAAAGCCTTTGTGCTTACTGGGCCCTGTGGTTTCAGGGTTCTGTGAAGGCTTTGGTTGTTTTGTGTAATGCAGGTCACAACTCAGGTGTTGCCTTTTCAAAGTGATGACCCTCTATCTCCATTGTTTGACTTCCAGCACAGCAGGGTGGGTGTTCAGGGAGTTGGCTGAATGAATGTCCATATTCTTCCTTGAAACCATTCTGAGTGCTGGAGTTACAGGTGTATGCCACTACACCCAAATTTAATTCTCTTGCTTCAATGATTTTCTTTTTTTGTGGTGCTAGTGATCAAAATCAGGGCCTTAGGTGTTGTAGACCAGTGCTCTACTACTGAGTTCTATCCCTTGTCCTTCCTGGATATTTGGGCTACAGTACCCCTTTCCTACTTCAGACTTACAGTAAAATTAAGCCCTGGAGAAAATCAGCCCCATGAATCTACATTTTCAACACACGCCTCAGTGATTTTAATGTACATTAATGTTTGAGAATGTCTCAGTATTTTAATAGCTTTTTTCCCTGGGAGATTGCTTCTTGCTTTATAGTAGTAATGATAGCTGCTTTTTTTTTTTTTTTTTTTTAAGTGTCTATCAGGTGCTGTGCTGAAAATTACTCTTAGGTTATTTTCATTTAACTGTAGAGCAGCCTAGTTGCAGGTATTCCTAATTTCACTATGCAAATGAAGAGCAGAGCCTGGTAAGCCCAGCACTCTGGGAGGTGGAAACATGAGGATTGCAAGTTCAAATCCAGCGTGGGCAACTTAATGACTTCTCAGGACTCCATCTCAGAAGATTTAAAAGGGCTGGGAATATAGCTTAGTGCAAAGACACTTTGTTCAATGCCCAGTTCTGGTTTATAAAAAGGTATTTACTATAACATAATTAGTGACACAAGCTTAAATTTGGTCCCAAATATGTTGTTTTTGTCTCTGTATACTGCTTCAGAACTACTGTCAAGGGCCAGTGAGATAGCTCAGCAGACCCAGTTCCTGCATAGGCAAGTGCAGGGACCTGTGATTGTACTGGTTCAATCCCCGGTACAGCATGCTGCGCTGACCCTGCTCCCAGGCATGCTGAGCCTGCAATCAACCGAGTCCAGATGTAGTGGCACACGACTGTAATTCCAGCTCTGGGGAGGCTGAAAACAGGAGGATCACTATGAGTCTGAGTTGTGTAGTGACACCCTGTACCAAATACATAAATTAAAAAAAAAAAAATTCTAAGAACCATCAAAACTGCACATAGTACTTAGGGTGTGAATGTGTGTATGTTGTATCTCATTTATACCAAGTAGGAATTGTGTGTGTGTGTGTGTGTGTGTGTGTGTGTGTACTAAGGATCACCAACCCAGGACCTTGTGTATGTGACACAAGTACTATATACCACTGAACAACATTCCTAGCCCACCTGAAATGGAAATATATATTTTTCTGTCTTATATTTATTATTTTGAAACAGAATCACACTGTATAACCCAGGCTGCCCTTGAACTCATGGTAATCCTTCTACCTCAGCCTCTTGAGTAGTGGGATTCTAGGCATATGCCACCATGCTTGGCTATATTTTTAATAAGCTGATTTACTTGAAATTTTCAGTCCATGTTAGATGCGAATATAATTTTTCATTTTTCATTATGACAAATAATGTTGTGATGAATCATGACTTTAGGTAGTCCACGCTCTAAAGAATTACTATGGGCCCGGGAAGATAGGTCAGTAGAATAAGCGCTTGCCTGGCAAGTGCAGGGTCCTGAGTTGTCTCCAGTATTGAAAAAAAAAAAAAAAAGAATTACTATATAACGAGTAGACAAATTGTAAAATAAGCCATGTCAAAGACTTTTTTGTTGTTGTTATTAGGGATTGGACCCAGGACCTCTGTACTGAGCTACACTCCCAGCCCTTTCTTCAGCCCTTTCTTCCTTATGTTTAGATACTGTTACTGGGTTTTGGAATGTTGTAGGCTCTTGGTAGAGATTCTTCCCAGGTTCTTGTCCTGAACAAATAATTGGACAAGACCACACACAAGGTATCAATGTTTTACATTTATTAAAGTAGAAGAACTATATGTTCTGTAGAGTGATAGCAGACCCCACTGAGAAAGCTCACAGGGGTATCTTTTGTATCTGTATTCTTCAGGCTGACATCAGATCTAGGCCATTATATCAAAAATCTGCTTGACTTCCCACCAGATTAATTTTTACTTTGGCTTTTGGATGGAGGCTATTTGCAAATTTTAATATGAATTGTGTATTGCTTTAAAATAATTTTAGTCCAGGTTCAAACCCTGGTATGCTATGCTGCCCCCATGGCGTGTTGGGACAGATTGAGACTGGGCATGGCACAATAAGCCTATAATCCCAGCACTTGGGAGGCTGAAAACAGGAGAGTCACTGCAAGTCCAATCTACATAGTGAGACCCAGTAGATCCTGCACTAAGTACATAAAAAATAAATAAAGTAATTTTAGCTAGGGCTGGTGGCGCACTTGTCCCAGCACTCAGGAGACTGAGGCAGGAGGATCACTGCAAGGCCAGCCTGGTCTATGGAGTGGGTTCAAGGCCAGTCTGAACAGACCCTATCTCAAAAAATATATGAATTTAAAAAAAATCAACTGTTTGGAAAATTGCATTTTTTTTTGCCAGTTCAATATAGTTTAATAAATACTGTAGAAACATAATCCAAAAATTGTATTTTCTTTCTTTCTTTCTTTCTTTCTTTCTTTCTTTTTTTTTTTGGCAGAACTGGGGATTGAACTCAGGCCCTCGCGCTTGCTAGGCAAGCGCTTATTCTATTGTACCATC